CTCACTTACACAAATACTGAATAAATAAACTAAGCAATATTTTCTCTTTATCAGATAATATGCCGTGTGGTGCCGGCAGAGTAGAATAGCACCACCCCCTCTCTTCCCGTAGGGCTCGTAAGAGGCGACCGAGGGATAAAAGCGACCTAAACAGCCAGGGCCAACCGTATGGTGGAGGTTAATCCACCACAAAAGCATTCCCAAAGAGGGTTGACGTCTGGTAGGCGGCTGGTCGTAAAATTCAGCCAAATCCTTTTGCAACACGATTTTGTGTTCAACGAAACGTGTTGCGCCAACCCCATGTAATTGGGATAAGGGCAGGAAGATGATATCAGATAAAAGAGCTCAGCAAAGTAGATTGAAAAATGCGTAACAAGACATCAGCTGTTCAGGAAGTCAGATATTTCGCGGGCGCGGTTGCTCGCTGGCGCGAACAATCGCAAAATGGGTCAGAGCTTTTCAGAATAACTACCAGCTCAATGGCTTTATTGTAGTTATTTTATTATGTAAACCACGATACAGTCTATTTATAGTAATTTCTTAAAGTACCGTTCTCTGTTATCTTACACGTGTACGTGTATTATCGTTTAAAGGACTATAGTATTCGGGGAGGCCTAAACTGACTCTGTACCAAATTGTTAGGTGTAGGTTGAGAGGTCCCGTCCAGAACTGCAATTATTGCAAGATGCTGACTAGCCTATATGACACTGGCTGGTCTATTTTCCCTAAGGATCTAAGAAACATCGGATGAAACACAAGCCAGCAACACCAGGAGTGGAAAACAGGCCTTGTGAGCGAGTTTAAGTAGGCCAGTAGCCAACTAATTCCATTTGCAGAAGGTCTCAATTTTAAATTATTTTTCCTCTTTATGTTCTTTGGGAAAAATTGTTTAATTTTATGGACTAGCTCACCTTTTAAATTATTTTCAATTTTTTTTTATCCACTTCGGATAGCAATATACTTTTATTATTTTTTCACTGTAACAAAGTGACTAACAGTGGTGAAGAGTCCATAGGTACATGCCGATTACCATCGGCTTCACTTCAGCAACCCATACTCTCGCATGAAGTCTTTAGTAAGTACATTTTGTCGCTTCGGCCTACCTTCGATAAAATGTCACACTTTGCCGCTGGTGGTGGTTACTGTCATGAGGTTTACAAATAGAAGCAGCACAAAAATAAGATGTACAGTATTGTACAGATTCCACCGCCGCACATATAATCACTCCTCTTTCCCCGAGGGGTAGGCGATGAATACATCCTTCCACTTGCTACGATTCTGACACACCTCTTTCGCTTCCTCCACATGCATCAATCTTTTGATACATGCTTTTCATTCTTTCATATTTGCTTTCTGTATGGCTGTTTTCCAAAAAGAAGCAGCTCAAAAATAAGATGGTACAGATTCCACCGCCAATTGTTCCGTAGCCGGAACTCAGCCCACAGAGCCACAGTAGCTGGTATCTATAAAGGTGAGTGCACACAAGCGGGTCACGTTTGCATTTCGCATTCACAATGCGACGCGCCGGTTTCCGCTAGCCGCTGCCCGCGGCGCTACACGTGTACACTCCCGCTGACAAATGTTTGCCACACTACGCGTAGTCGCGTGTGTTTGTACAGGGATTAACAGAAAGGGTATAACAAGCCGAAAGGAGGTCAAGGTACTCATGAAAATGAATAACTTTCCCTATGGAACATAGGTCGAAATATAAAAAAAATTTTGGACCTCCCATAGTACATCAAAGACCTCGGTCGACAAATTTGTGTGGGAGGTCCAATTCTTTTTTCATATTTCGACCCATGTTCCATGTTTCATGGGGAAAGTTGTTCAGTTTCATGAGTACCTTGACCTCCTTTCGGCTTGTTATACCCTTTCTGTTACTCCCGGTATATGCCACGGGCATACGCGTGTCTTTTACAGTGTGACAGAAGTTGTGTTGGATAACACAGAGCCACAGTTGCTGGTATCTATAAAGTTGAGTGCACACAAGCGGGTCACGTTTGCATTTCGCATTCACAATGCAACGCGCCGGTGTCCGCTAGCCGCTGCCCGCGGCGCTACACGTGTACACTCCCGCTGACAAATGTTTGCCACACTACGCGTAGTCGCGTGTGTAGCTCAGTTGGCAGAGCAGTGGCCCACGGTCTCGGGTTCAAGTCCCGGCGGTCGCTAATGAATTTTTCAATTTTCTCAATTTCAATTTACGTGAATATTATAGCACTGTGAGTGCATTAAAAATCCCAATACATCATGACAGAAGTTGTTTTGGATAAATTGTCCGATTGGTTCATTTACAAAAAGAAGCAGCACAAAAATAAGATGTACAGATTCCACCGCCAATTGTCCCCTAGCCGGAACCCAGCCCACAGAGCCACAGTGACTGGTATCTATAAAGGTGAGTGCACACAAGCGGGTCACGTTTGCATTTCGCATTCACAATGCGACGCGCCGGTGTCCGCTAGCCGCTGCCCGCGGCGCTACACGTGTACACTCCCGCTGACAAATGTTTGCCACACTACGCGTAGTCAAGTGTGTTTGTATATGCTATGGACATACCCGTGTCTTTTACAGTGTGACAGAAGTTAAATTGAGTATTTAGTTCTAAAAACTACTACAGGATGTCGCTTAATAGTCGCTAGACGAGCATCAAGAGGTTGAGAAATTTATTAGGATTAGCCAGGCGCCCGTAGCTCAGAAGGCATTGCAGTGGCCCACGGTCTCGGGTTCAAGCTCCGGCGGTCGCTAATGAATTTTCTCATTTTCTATTCATTAGAATATTATAGCACTGTGCCTTAAAATCCCAATACATCATGACAGAAGTATTTTTGGATAAATTGTCCGATTGGTTCATTTACAAAAAGAAGCAGCACAAACATAAGATGTACAGATTCTGTATTGAGTATTCAATCGTTATAGTCCTCTGCCGAAACTCGGCCCACAGAGCCACAGTTGCTGGTATCTATAAAGGTGAGTGCACACAAGCGGGTCACGTTTGCATTTCGCATTCACAATGCAACGCGCCGGTGTCCGCTAGCCGCTGCCCGCGGCGCTACACGTGTACACTCCCGCTGACAAATGTTTGCCACACTACGCGTAGTCGCGTGTGTAGCTCAGTTGGCAGAGCAGTGGCCCACGGTCTCGGGTTCAAGTCCCGGCGGTCGCTAATGAATTTTTCAATCTTCTCAATTTCAATTTACGTGAATATTATAGCACTGTGAGTGCATTAAAAATCCCAATACATCATGACAGAAGTTGTTTTGGATAAATTGTCCGATTGGTTCATTTACAAAAAGAAGCAGCACAAAAATAAGATGTACAGATTCCACCGCCAATTGTCCCCTAGCCGGAACCCAGCCCACAGAGCCACAGTGACTGGTATCTATAAAGGTGAGTGCACACAAGCGGGTCACGTTTGCATTTCGCATTCACAATGCAACGCGCCGGTTCCCGCTAGCCGCTGCCCGCGGCGCTACACGTGTACACTCCCGCTGACAAATGTTTGCCACACTACGCGTAGTCGCGTGTAGTATGTTTGTATATGCCACGGGCATACATACATCACGCCTTTATCCCTTGCGTGGTAGGCAGAGCATCAACGGCCGTAAAAATACGATCGTTATGGCCACGTCTGACAAATATTTGAGGACCGTTTTAGCTATTGTCGTGTATCGCTATAGTGACAGGTTGTCAGCCTGTCGCCTAAAAATACAATACACAAGAAACCCTCGAGTCCTTTAGGCGCTTCTTACGACACCCACAGGAAATAAATGGGGTGATGCTATTCTAAGGCGGCGTGTCTTTTTCAATGTGACAGAAGCTGTGTTGGATAACACAGAGCCACAGTGACTGGTATCTATAAAGGTGAGTGCACACAAGCGGGTCACGTTTGCATTTCGCATTCACAATGCAACGCGCCGGTTCCCGCTAGCCGCTGCCCGCGGCGCTACACGTGTACACTCCCGCTGACAAATGTTTGCCACACTACGCGTAGTCGCGTGTGTTTGTACATGCCACGGGCATACATACGTACATCACGCCTTTATCTCTTGCGTGGTAGGCAGAGCGTCAACGGCCGTAAAAATACGGTCGTTATCGCCACGTCTGACAAATATTTGAGGACCGTTTTAGCTATTGTCGTGTATCGCTATAGTGACAGGTTGTCAGCCTGTCGCCTAAAATTACAATACACATGAAACTCCCACTCAAGTTCTTACGACACCCACAACAAAGAAATGGGGTGATGCTATTCTAAGCCGGCATCACACTGTAATACGGGCATACGCGTGTCTTTCAGTGGGACAGAAGTTGTTTCGGTTAAATCGTGCAATTGGTTACAGGACAAAGACTAAGTTTGGATATGTATTGGAATTTTTAATGCACTCACAGTGCTATATTATTCTCATAAATTAAATAATGAGAAAATTGAAAAATTCAATAGCGACCGCCGGGACTTGAACCCGGGACTGTGGATCACCGTTCCACCGCTCTACCCACTGAGCTACTTGCGCCTTTTCAACTTTTCAACCTCTTGATGAATACATTGGTTTAAGCAAAAAGCTTCATCATATGGTTTGAATTCCTACTGTAACGTGGACTAACCAAAGTATTTAGTTGTAAAAACTACTACTAGATGTCGCTTAATCGTCGCTTCAAGACGAGCATCAAGAGGTTGAAAAGTTCAACAGCGTCCGCTAGGCGCCCGTAGCTCAGTGGGTAGAGCGGTGGAACGGTAATCCACAGTCCCGGGTTCAAGTCCCGGCGGTCGTTATTGAATTTTTCAATTTTCTCATTATTTAATTTATGAGAATAATATAGCACTGTGAGTGCATTAAAAATTCCAATACATTGGTTTAAGCAAAAAGCTTCATCATATGGTTTGAATTCCTACTGTAACGTGGACTAACCAAAGTATTTAGTTGTAAAAACTACTACTAGATGTCGCTTAACCGTCGCTTCAAGACGAGCATCAAGAGGTTGAAAAGTTCAACAGCGTCCGCTAGGCGCCCGTAGCTCAGTGGGTAGAGCGGTGAAACGGTGATACACAGTCCCGGGTTCAAGTCCCGTCCCGGCAGTCGCTATTGAATTTTTCAATTTTCTCATTATATAATTTATAAGTTTGGATAGAATTTATATACGAACATTGATACTTTTTCTTTATGTAGTAGTAAAGTGCACATTATATCGAGATTCTTGGAACAACAAATTCTTATATTCTTTTATTTTCCGACCGCAACTGTACGTACGTTCATAGTCTATTTGGGTTTCGACGTTCACTACTCTACACTTACACATTATTCGATACCTACCTAGTATCTATCAACTGTATTATTTAAGAGTCATTCTCTGAGTAACCAATTAAAAGTAGCAATACTACTTACAGCAGTTTGTAAAAGTACTAACTAGTAGATTACATTACATATCTAATCGATTTAAAACATAATCATCTTCTTCCCTTATCCCAAATTAATTGGGGTCGGTCGGCGCAACGTGTTTTCTAAGAGCATAAAATAGGAAAAGGATTTGGCAATGTTTTACGAGTATGACCGGTAGCCTGCCTGACATCTTATTTTTCAGTCGATTTAAAACATGAGAATCAATTCGACAAGAAGAAACTTGTTTCATAAAATTAAATACTGTTCAGTGATCACAATGTAAAACTTTACGATTAAAATGTCGCAGGTATCACGCTTTACCTATGTTCGAGACATCTAATCTCTGACGTCATACCTACTTATCTTATGACGAAACATTTTATACGTGTTGCTCTATATATCTTATAAACATGGCTATCAAGAAAATGTAAACGGCTCAGGTTAGTTGTAAAATACATGATCCATTACAAATATTGTTGAAGTTTGAAGTTTGAAGAGCTATTTGGACAAATCGCTACAAGAACTAATGCAACGATTTTGAAAATTCCCTCTTTATTCTTGATTAGATCAGGTTATCGCAGTGCAAAACTTTATATCCACAAGTATATGAATTCATTCAGCATTGGCATGAGGCGGCTAATACTGATCAAGTGAACACACCCACTATCAAAATATGTACTTAGTTAGGAACGAGAACTTTCTGCTTTTTTCTTTTCTCATGAGTTGAAGTAAGCTACACGAGAAATCTAAAACAATACGATACGGTTTACGCAACCGCCGCGGCCGCTTACGCCGCCGTACGTATAATAATATACAATAGGTGTTGATGACGTCATGAAAATAATAATGGCCGTCAAGCAGGTCGAGTGTCGAGACGCTCGTCAATATCAACAAACACAACCTTGAGTTGCACGCGTCTCAACTCAAACATTGCCTTACATTGATTTGCGCGGTCGGGAAAAAATTGTGATTTTATGAGAAAAAATGGTCATAGTTTTTCAAGAAGTTACGAAAATAATAATGGCCGTCAAAGAGGTCGAGTGTCGAGACGGTCGTCAATATCAACAAACACAACCTTGTGTTGCTCGCGTCGCGCTACGCCCTTTGCGGTCAAACATTACCTTTCATTTATTTGCGCGGACGGTAAAAATTGAGGTATTTTATAAGATATTTTATCTATAAGAAAAAGTCATAGTTTCGAGAGAGACTCTCATTCATATCAACAAACACAACCTTGAGTTTCACGCGTAGCGCTACGCGCTTTGCGGTCAAACATTACCTTTCATTGATTTGGTCGGGTAAAAATGGTGATATTATTCGCGAAAAATACATCAGCATTGTACCTTTAAACCTACATCAAACTATTTGGGAGGGAATGAAGGTCAGAATAGTTATCATCTCTTTACCTGTTATTCCTTGGGTAAAGTTGTTCAGTTTCTTGAGTACCTTGACCTACTTTCGGCTTGTTATGCCCTTTTTGTTTCTCCCGGTATAGTAGTCTGTTTTGTAAATTCATCCATGCATGTTACGTCTCGGGCTAGCTCGCGCGTGATATCTGTTATCGAGCTCGCTTATCATCATTACATACTTACATGTACCTACAGTTGTTTGGTAAAACAATTACCCATTAATTTACTTTTGTTAATTTGGTACTTCATGTCTTAGGTAGGTTTTGGTTGGTTCCCTGCAGGATATGGTCAAAAGCTAAAGTAGGTACTAGGTACGGCCATTCGAATAGGACAAAATTGTCAAACCCGTGATTGCTATAGTTATTGGCCGGAGTACAGTTATTGGCCATCATAACCACAATTAGACAAAAACAAGCATATATAATCATTAACGGGAGTAAAAGTTACGCAAATACATTCTTAAGGAAATAGATGGTCATTGGAAGATCATTTCAAATACAACAGATAGCGCGCATACAATGAAAATACATTATTTCTGAAACATGGCGTCAATGCAGCTGCTCAGTTGTCAAAATATTAAGAAACATATTTCGGAATTTTATTAAAATCTCCCTTATTCTTGCTCCATTTATTTGTGTTCTACGTGTTTTTGAAAAATGAGAAAGTGTAGCTACAGAAAATAGCTAGTTACAGTGTTTGATAGAAACGGAACCTCAAGAAATGCTGTCGGCTAATAACTGTATCAAATTATACTTAAATTCAGTAATTGGCAGCGGGTGGCCAATAGCTAATTTGTGGTGGTAGGCTTTATTTTTATTAAGATATAAGTAAATTGACCCTTAAAGCATATGATAGCAAAATTCTGCCTTTGTAATCTATTGGGATCAGTAATTAGCCGGGGGGCCAATAGCTAATCTAAGGTCTGGCCAATAACTGTGTTACTGCTTTCTTACAGCTCGATTGCATAAAAAATAAAAATATCGAAGATGTGTACCAGATTATTCATAAGAACAGTTAGATAATTTTAGACAATTGTGGAATACAGCTAATTAATTCTAAAACTTAGATTTCTTCAGTAATCTTGGTACTAATTGTATGGCCAATAACTGTCCTACTCGTTGCCAATTACTGTAATTTTGGGGCCAATTACTGAATTTTATGTGAACACAGAAATAAAATAAAAAAATACATTATTATTGTTAAGAAATACGCAATATTTATATAAACCAAGGTTACTTTGAATTGTTACTTCGTAAAATTAGTAATATACATAGATAGCACGTATGTTTTTGTCATTTCAGACACATTTCCTGACAATATTCTCTTAAACGGCCAATTACTGTAGCAGTTACTATGACATGTCAACAAAGAAAAATAGATCTTATGTCAAAGCATAAAAAAAAATTACAGCTGTCAAATATAGCCTATTCGAACGGCCATACTTGTAATTACAGACATGCCCTTTTTACGAGGTTTTACATTCGGCCCAATTATCACATTTATCTTGTGTGTGTGTTGTCTCTTAATAAAAAGGTCGTGTCTGTTGCTTTATACCAAAAAATAATAGGTACTTGGGCTAGTTTTCCGTCGGCTTCAAAATTTTCCAATAGATAACAGGTAAAATAGCAGTTTATTGAAGCATGTCTGGTGTTTCTGTTATTTTTTAATTATTTTAATAGCCGGTAAAAAAAATCTTACAATATCTTCCTACAAAGTTTCTTATAAACATGACAATTATACCAGTAATTGTTATATTTATTTCTAGTTTTACCAGTTTCCCTAACACCATCGGTATCATAAATAATCATTACCCTTCCGAGACGAGAAGAAAATAAAAGTGTAGAGGGAGCTCTGCTGTCAAAAAGTGAAGCCGTATAAATCTCGTGCTGTGGGCATTATTAATTAATTACTTAGTCTGAAGTAACTTTATTTATTTTAATTAAAAATTTGATACGATTGATAATAAATATAATGACCTGAAAAGATTCAGTCTTTTAGCTAAGATATCTTGACCTCATAACACAGAATACATAATAGTACAGGTACAGAAGACGCACTCCGCCGTAGCAATTCAACAAATATAAATCTTTATGCGCGATAATAAAGTACAATTTCCTTCGCGCCGCTTTGAATACCTACTTTTATATTAGCCTACTGATCGCGCGCGCAAGCGAAAATGAGCCGAATTGCTGCGCGCGAAAGTTCATTTGCCGCAGACTACCTCTGAAGGTCACAGCCGGCACGCTTTGTAGGGATGCGAATTTCGAGATTTATATGAAAATAGGTACCTACGAAAAGTGTACTGGAGTACATTTCTACACCCAAGTAAAACAAAATGTTTTGTTAAACGTAGGATATTGAACGAAAATCAAAGCATAAATATTAGAAAAAATATGAAAATTGCATTATCATACAAAATTAACGAATCTCGTGAAGAAATGCGAACGGCATCGGAGCGCGCGAGTTAAGATATCCGTGTCAGCATCTTCCACTACGTAGCCTAATTATAATTTATAAGATTTGCTTGGTAAGATAATCAAAGTGCAATCTTACTAAGCAATTCATTTTAGTAGTGGGAGGTGGTGACTTAGCAATTTATCTAAGATTTATTTAGTATTTAAGCTAGTGTAAGCCTAGAATTAGCAGTTCTTATCTGCCGGACGATCTCCGAGTGCAAATAAACAGAAGAAACCATAAGTCTGCCTCTTATTCCACTTCTTGAGTCGCGCGTAACGTGCGGCGCGCGGCAACCAACTGATTAACCTCCGCGCGGGGGTCGCCGCACGTACTTGCAACTCTATACCTACGCCGCGGAGTGCGCCAGGCCTGCTCATAATACGGTGTTTTTGTTCTTTCTGGCACTGCCATCTTAATTTCAGTTTTAATCGAATCTTTTGTTTATACTCATAGTGTCATGTCATGACCATGACCAGCCTAAGCGGGAGGCCTAGTTACGCTGGTCCTGTGGTATCTAAGTATTGCGACCAGCGTAACCAGGCTGATCATGTCATTTCATGACATGACACTATGATTGCGAATGGGTATTTCTCGATGTTAACCATAAAAATGATGACCTTTCAGCTCGCTTTGTCTTATTTTTATCTCTGAGCATTCTGAGGAGAATAATATAGAAAAACCCGGAAGAAACTAACTGGTTTCCGCAGATAAGATTAAACCGGGAGCACAATGGGTGCAACTATTACGTAACTTACTTGCTTGTTAACTTTGTTAGAAATAGGTAGTATTAGGTATACTGGGTTGCAGCTCGAAATACCCGTTTAAGGCATGGAAATGTG